ACAGTAGGCCTGTGTAAAAATCTGTGTCAACTCAACAGGACAAATGAGGTCTGCCACTATTGAAGACAAGATCATGAAAAACCTTCTTTGACTTCCTCTCTTTCTCTCCGTGTTGTGCAGAGGTTGAGCCAAATGACACCTGCCCTACCCTCTCTCAAATTGAGTTCGGCTGGATCAGCTCGTCCCACTCCTCCCCTGTGAGAGGCAGCGTGCTGACCTATCAGTGCCAACCAGGATATGACATCAGCGGCTCTGACATCATCACCTGCCAGTGGGACCTGTCCTGGAGCAGCAGTCCACCTACTTGTGTCAAAGGTGAGACCAGCAGTGAAACATACTTGGATCTTAACACGGCACATCTGTGATCTGTGTGTGGTAGATATGGTGCCAACAGCTGGTTAGCTTAGCTTAGCATAAACACTGTAAGCAGGGGGAAACAGCTAGCGTGGCTCTGTCTAAAGGTAACAAAATGTGTTAACCTATGTTAACCGGCTTCTCGCTCAAACTACATATTTACCATACAAACATGAGAGCAGTATCAATCTCTTCATCTAACTCTCAGCAAGAAAGCAAATAAGCATTTCCCAAATGTCAAACTTTTCCTTTGATAAAAACCCACTTACAGGATCAATTTTGATGCTGTCATGTGTGTCCCACTTTGTCCCCCACAGTCCAGCAGTGTCCTGATCCAGGAGAGGTGGTAAACGGAGCACGCTCTGTGCGCCCTGAAGCAGGTTTTGCAGTTGGGACAGTCGTCCGTTTCTCTTGTAATCAGGGTTACCAACTGGAAGGTCCCAGCCAAATCTCCTGCCATGGACGGGACACTGGCACTCCGAAATGGAGTGACCGCAGCCCAAAGTGTGTCTGTAAGTAGCTTTTCTGTCTGTTTATGATGCTTATCGCAGCACGTTTAGACGTTAACTGCAAATACGCGACTGTCCTCCGTGTGTTTTTCTCTCCTCTGACCAGTAAAATATGACCCATGTCCAAACCCCGGAGTCCCTGACAATGGTTACCAAACCTTGTACAAGCACAGCTACCAGGCAGGAGAGACTCTGCGTTTCTTCTGTTACGAGGGCTATGAACTTATTGGTGAGGTCATTATCAGCTGTGTTCCCGGCCATCCCTCTCAGTGGAACAGCCCACCGCCCTTTTGCAAAGGTAACAGTTACGTTGTCAGAACATGTTTTGTATGCTGCCCTAGACCTACGGGTCCGGGTTTGAATTAATGAGATTAACTTTTTGAGATTAGCTGCCTTTAAAAAATGTTTTATTTCCGTGTTTCTTGGTTATCAAAGTATTGTAGTCTCCTCTGCCATCATTTTAGTAATACAAGATACATCAACATAAAAATATGGTGAGATCCTGACGATGCATTTAAGACTTCCAGGTGTGATTTATAATCATTTATTTGATTTGTCTCTCTCCTACCTTCATTTCACACAGTGGCATATGAGGAGCTCTTGGATGATCACAAACTAGAAGGTGATTGCTTTTCTCGATGTGTATAACATCAAAGGGTTGTTTTTAAGACATAGCACTAAAAAGCCATTACATCAAGGATTTGAATTCCTGACTTTGGCACCATCTAGTGGTGATATTAAGAACAACACTGTGATGGAACATTTCTGTTATTTTTGTACACTGGAATACTTATTATTATCAGTGCAATAATAGCACCAGGCAATTTAAATTCAGGAAATATAATATAAAAACCTAGTGTTTCTCTAGATTTAGCACTTCATCATTTTAGATTCATAACCAAATCAAGTCCATTGTGAACAGACAAAATTATGTTTGGTAGCAAAGGTAGGGTATCTTTTCCTGATAATTGTTTGATTATTTCACAGTGTCCCAGTCATTCGAGCCGTCCCATCAGATCCTGAGTGAGAACATTGCTTTGGCAATAATTCTGCCAATAATCCTGGTCATTCTCCTGATTGGAGGAATTTACATGTACTATACAAAGTAAGTACCCTGGTTAAACAAAGTGACATTTAACTCTTGATGAGTTCACATCAAAATTTACAATCATCCATATCTGTGGTATAGCAACACAGCTTAGCCTTTATTCCTTTTTCCATAGCCTTTATTCACAAGGTTACATGTCATTTTATTTTCTCGTCCACAGCATATGCAGACTAGAATGGAAGCCGCTCTTCTGGAAGTCTCTTTCTCACACACACTCCTACAGTCCCATTACAGTCGAGTCTGATTTCAACAACCCTCTGTATGAGGCAGGGGTAAGTAAAAGACTGATTCTTTAAACATTTGTTACTTCTACTTTATTTGTTTTAATTGAGACATTAGACTATTTTATACTTTTTTTTTTGTACAGACAATTTAACCATTTCGAACATTAAAATTTTGTCTTTTCCTTAGAAACATTTTGTCATATCAGAGTCTGAACTGATATTTTACTGACTGATTTCTTACTTTGACCACAGGATACACGGGAGTATGAAGTATCCATTTAAAGGAGAAAATGACTCGGTGAGAATTAAAAACCACGCAAAAATTAAATTCTTTTGGAAGAAAAATTCCTTACTAGATTATAAGGCCTCGCTCCCCTTTATCATTAATTTTTTAATTATCTTTCTGTTTTACCATCACAGTAACTCTGGTTTATCCATTTTGGAAGTGCTTTACTTTGATTTGTTGCACTGATGTGGTGGTTTGCCAAACGTGGGTCCTACTTCATGATCCAACTTTCTGTATCATTAGGACTGGTGCCTTATGAAGGGTAAGAAATTGACAACAAAGAAAAAAAATAACAGTGTGGGAAGAATAAGAACAAGAGATGGGGAAAGGGTGGAGGGAAAATTATTTATTTATTTATCTATTTAGTTATTTAGTTAATCATTATTAGGCCAAAACATTAGAGAACTTGGCAATACTTTATTTGTAACAATCAAAAGTTACAGTCATGGGCATACAATACACGCTGAATGTTTTTCTTTTGTTTTTTGGCTCATGTTACATTTTACAAAGTGTTACAGCAAAGGGGAAGAATACGTTAATTTTTATCATGAGAAAAGTTTGACATCAGCACTCATTTTCTCTTCCTCACTTTGTCTTTCTCTCTCTGTGTAACATACACACACACAAATTGAATGTAAATATCTGACTTAATATTGATTGAGGTTGATATATATACTTAATTATATATATGTATACATATATATATATGAGCCTCATATATACACTTATACATGGTGGTGGGAGGTTATATATTTTCATTATATATATAATGAAAATTCAGTGCCAAAATATAATGTTAAATAATTTAATGTCCCTAAGTGTTTCATCTGTTGTTGCAATAGTGTTTACAAAGGCAGTGTTTATTTTTATTCTTTGCTGTTTCTGGAGTGCATCGTCACCCAGTGTCACATGACATATAAGAAAAGGTGAGGACATGAATGTCATTATGCTTAGAGCATGCACTGATTGTATATTATATTGCTTCTGCTCAATCTTGCCATTATCATTATAGTTATTGACAGTTATCATTGTTATCAGATTTGATGTTGTATGCACTATGTTGATGACAAATTGCAAACTTGGCTGCTTGCTGTGATGCATTATGTATTTATTTACAAATGATTGTTTGAACGGTGAATGTAGTCTCATTCACTGTGCCAAATGAAGGATCTTGGAGACTGTTGCTTTGTAGACTTAATTCTTCTCTTATCATCAGTAGCATTTCTTTGCTTCATATATGAATACACTCTTTTGAAGGCAGTAAATTATTTGCTGAATTGGAAATAAAGTCTGTTGAATGGTGTAGAACTTGTGAGACTGGAAAGAGCTTTTATTTCTTCAATAACAAGGTTATATCTGTATTCATGCACACACAAAATATACACATATAACTCATCCGATGGAAAGAATATCACAATGAGAGAGTAATGCTTATTGGTAATTTTGTACTTGTTTTTTTCTTCATGGCTAACAGGGAAGGGCAACAGGAAATACAAAATACATAGTGGGGGCACAATATGCATTTTACAGTATTTTAGAACTGAAACGGAATTTTTTTTTTTTTACAAAAAAAGTGGATGTTTCTATGCATAGAAGTGGATGTTTCTATGCGTCATGAGTCTAGTAATGATCATTTCTCTTAGTTCGTTTTTGATTGTTTTAGTTAGGTTTCTTTGTTTTGATAGTATTCACCGTGTTAGCATGCTATCAACAGAGTATAGGTTACTTACATTACTTTGAAAACATTAACCGGAAGTGTAAACATGCTCTCATGTCTCCATTGACGCTGTCTTGACTATTTTGATATTGCAGTTACTCGCCTTGGCCACTAGAGGGCAATAAACACACGATTCGAAAGGCACTCGGACGCACTCAGCACAACAGTCGTCTCTGAAAACTAGTAAGAACGTTGCTTGTGGGGTAGAGTGATCTCCACATCAGCAAACGGTTTTTAAAATGTTACCGTTGTTATTCGCAATAACCACACTATGAGTTGTAAATATCAAAATTAAAAAACGATTCTACTGATATTCCTGTTCGTTAGCCACAATTTTAATTGTAGTGTTGCAGTTCCTTATTTAGAACACTGGAGGGAAGTGAACACCCTAAATTCACAGCTTGTAAACATGTCATTTTATCAGCTACTGTCAAGTCAGAAATAATACCATCATCACACTTCCGGTATTACATTTCATAATAAAGCAACAAAACAGGCTGGACGTGTTTTTAGTATTTTGTCTACTGCCGTTATGAGAATGTGGAGTTGTAATGTAGTTTTGCCATCCAAAAGCCTGCCCCATGGCCCTGTACGAGGTTGCTATTCAGTTCGAGCTTCATAAACTCGAGGTTTTTTTGGTGTCAATGTCCACACACACATACTAGGGTAGTATTTAACGTAGTCACCAACAGCATGCGAGGCGTGTATTGGTGACACACTATTTCCCTCCGAAAGGGGGCAGATTTTCATGTCGCGAGTTGCCGTTCAACATCGTGTTGAAAGTAGAAGAAGAAAGCAGCGGATGAAGATACAGTAGTTTCGTTTCCGATTGACCCATTTAGCAACTCACATTAGCATCAGTTAATAATCTTTGAATCCAAAAATGGAATTGGTCTTCCTTAATTTAGCACTTTGCGTTTTTTGATGGATAATTTCTGATTCTTAGTCCAAGAAGCGATACGAAACAAAGGAGCGTTGCTAGCTGTAAGCGTAGCAAAATAGGCTAGCTGTTGTTAGCCACTTTGATTTAGCTGGGCTGGCGGCGATTAAAATGAGCTGTCAAATGTTGACTGCGTAGTAAAGTTGTTTGTGTGCTTTGGGCTGTTCGTATTGGCTGGCGGGTTATTAACGAGTGCTGGCTTATTAACGCTTACACATTTAGCTATCTTAGCCTAGCTACGTCCAGCCTTGTAGCTCCCTTGGATGTTCAGTGTGGTGAGTACAGTTTGGTCTAAGATAACTTAATATTACTAGATTTGTTTAGCCTATTATCACAACAACTAGACTTCAGCTAGTTGACCAGACAGTCAGCGTGTAAACTGCTAATGTAGGATGATTTATTGTGTCACATTAAAGAATGTGGGCTACTGTGAGTCAAATGCTTCCTGTATTTCGCTGTGATGAAGTGTGGAAAAATGCTTGGTACTGAACGGACGCACTTAACACGTAAGGAGAATAAAGCCTGCCTTAGAGGTTAAGGCATTATACACAGTTTACCTAAACAACTGTCAGTATCAATATATTGTCTATATTAACTGACGAGACAGCAGATATAGACAGTAATAAAGGAGCCATCCTCGTTCTAGCCCAAATCTGCACTATAAACAAGCCACCATGTTCCTCTGTATTACAGTCGGGAAGTGACTCTTCAGCTCCATGTCTGCTGAGGCTTCAGTTGGCAGTCATGCTGCCGACTCTGCCCAGTCTGCTGTTTCCCACTCCGCCTGCCACAGCACAGATGAGCACAGAAATCAGGGTCTGCTGGGGAGCAAGTATGTCAAGTTAAATGTGGGTGGCTCACTGCATTATACAACTGTCCAGACATTAAGCAAAGAAGACAGTCTGCTGCGGAGCATATGCAATGGAGGAACAGAGGTTACCATCGACTCAGAAGGTGAGCACAAACCTTTTTACTGGATCCACATTGTTACTCTTAAATGTCTTGAGAGCTGTGCCACTGACATCAGCATTTTAACTTGTCACTGCCACTAAGTGTGGAGTATGGTTTCTTATGTATGGTAATGTTTCTTTCCTGCTGTCCCAGGCTGGGTCGTGTTGGATAGGTGTGGTCGACATTTTGGGCTGGTTTTGAACTTCCTGCGAGATGGTTCGGTACCACTTCCAGAGGAACACAGAGAGCTGGATGAGGTTTTGAAAGAGGCCCAGTACTATAGGGTCCAGGGACTGGTCCAGCATTGCCTCAGTGCCATGCAGGTAAATAGATAATATATACATATAGAGTTTTTTGTTTGTTTTTTCATAACAATTTTTATTGATTTTTGTTAAGAGCATCTACAAACATTTTCAAACTACATAATATTAGTACAATGAACTAGTATTTTAAGATTTCCCCCTCCCTTTGTCCCTTCCACATTAAAATCACCATCCAGCTCATCCGCTTTCTCTTCCTCCTCCACCTCCTCCTCCTCCTCCCTTCTCCCAATAAGTTCATTTGTACTAAAGCATCAAAGGTGTTTTTAAAGTCCATGTAGTGTAATCAGATGCAGTGATAAAATGTTCTTGATTGTCTGTGTGAAATTGTCACCATCACCATCTCTTTCTGGCTTATTTATCAGTGTGTCAATGTCAAAACATTATGTTGATTAATCAATCAAATGTTATTCATTAATTAATTGTTGTCTTAATCTTAATAATTTATGACTTCACAAAGAGCTTTGCATTTCTCCTAATCTTATAATGCTAAAATATAATAATATAATACTTGCAGGTTTTAGTTAGTGCTCAGACTAAACAAGGAATTTACTCACAAATAATCTGGTATCTTAAATAGACAAAATTATTGACTGAATTTTTTACCCAGTTAATTGGTCAGTTGATAATTTAGGAAAGTGTGTTAATTGCTTATGTATTTCAATGTTTGTTCTTTTTTAACCTTCAGAAACAAAAGGATGTTTTTGAAAGTGTGTGTCGCATCCCCATGATCACCTCAGCCAAAGAAGAACAGAAGATGATTGCTACTTGTAGAAAGGTGAATAACATTTCATCTAAATCCATTGGATCACTGACAGAGGTGTATATTAGGTTAGCAGCTGTCAAATCCTAATTGTCTAGTCCTGTGTAGCAAATGTCTGTCTGTCTGTACAGAATTGAAAAAGAACAAGATGGTTTGAAGAGATTTATAATTGGGAGCCATGAAACCTGCTGCTGCAGTGTGAGACAATTCTTCACTTGTAGACTACAGAATTACCCTGATTTATTCCTGTTCCTTGTCTCTACAGCCGGTAGTAAAATTGCAGAACAACAGAGGAAACAACAAATACTCTTATACCAGGTAAAAATTATGGCTGAGTGCATGCATCCTACACAGAGTATGAAAAACAATATGACAAGTCACCTTCTGCCACAACAACATGTCAGTGTTTCACATGTCCATTTGACTTGGATTTTGAGTACAAAGTTCTTATTAATCTTCTTAACTGATTGAGATTTTCTCTTTGTCTCCGCCTGTGACCAGCAACTCTGATGATAACCTGCTGAAGAATATTGAACTTTTTGACAAACTTGTGCTACGATTTAATGGCCGGGTCCTGTTTGTCAAAGATGTGCTCGGGGATGAGATCTGCTGTTGGTCTTTCTATGGTGAAGGCCGCAAGATCGCTGAAGTATGCTGCACCTCTATTGTCTATGCTACAGAGAAGAAGCAGACAAAAGTAAGCATCACGTTATGGGTACACTAAGTCTCAAAGCTGTGGTTTGATCTTTTGGGAAATGTGTGTATCTGCTTTCTGGCATTGAGTTCAACAGCAGCTTGTTAGCTTAGCTTAGCACAAAGACTGGAAACACAGGGAAACAGCTAACTTGGCTCTGTCGTTGGTAATTAAATCCACCTAAAGATCAAAAAGTCTGTCAAAAGTCAGCTATTCACCACCAAACTTGACCATTGCGTGTTTTTTAGGTTGAGTTTCCCGAGGCTCGAATCTTTGAAGAAACCCTCAATATTCTCATCTATGAGAATGGCCGAGGATCTGGTCCAGGAGGCTTACACCTTTTAGATTCAAGAGGCTCAGGTTCATCGCTGGGAGCTGGCCAGTCAGAGGAAGAGGGTGCTGTGGGAGGGGACAGACGAGTAAGACGGATCCACGTAAGGAGGCATATAATGCATGACGAAAGAGGGCACGGTCAGCAAACTGTCTACAAGGACTAATAATGTGAAAATATAGGGCATAGGAGAGTTACTTGAGGTATGTTTATTTTTTTGTTGAATGTTAGCAGAATGAAAGAGATGTCCTTGATCATAGCAATAGCTTGGTAGTTAGTTATTTCATTAATTGTTTTAGGCATCACTGCAGAAATAGAGAGGTTGATGACTGAGTTGCAACTGAAGTAAGAGTCGTTTGGAGGTGAAAAATGCTTCTGTTTACAAGAAAACAAACTGTGTACATTATTTAAATAGGAAATATGTAAAATTACCTGGGAAATGTAACTGGCATAAATATTACTTTGCAAATATTAAGGAACCCCCTGCAAGTTACTGAAAAGGTCTAAAACCCAACTCCCACCCCAAAGGTGGCTAATTTATTCCTAGAGCAGATGGCCTACTGTCAATGTAGGTGTTAATGATGTGCACTCGCAGCCTCTTCTGTGTTTGACTTGTAGGAAACACTGTGTCAGTCAGTTCATTCAGGTTGTTAAACATCTGTTGCCTTTTCCGAAGATGGACTGAGATGCTGGCCGACAGTGAGGAACAGAGGATGGTGAAGTTTAGTTTAGATATCTTAACACTGGAATAAAACTGAGTAGCCATTTTTAGCAAGGTTGTCCATGAATGAGATTGTTGAGCAGCTCAATTTTCTTTATTTAAATTTTTACTGCTGTTGCTTCAAGATGTTTTTTATTAATTAATTTATGAACTTAATTTATTGTTTGGTATTTAACTTTTGTATTGTATGCAATCTTTGTGTTAACTAGTGCTCAAGTGAGTTTTAATTTTTGGAATGACATCTATAGCACACATCAGATTTTGAATTTACTCCTGTAAATGACTAAATCGTGAACTTACATTTCAGTTCCATGTTTCAAGAGGAACAGAGACCATGTCTTTGATATTGTATTTCATTCTGAGCCATGATTTTTCACTTATGCTTTATGTCTTACACCAAACCACTGAAATTTGTTCAAAGTAATAGGCCATATAGTGATGATAAAATAAATTAATATTGGGTTGTATTTTTATTTCCCTCAGGGAGAGAAGTATTTTCTTTCTAATAGTCACCAGAGTCTTGTGTAAACCTAGTCACTCTGAATACTGAAAAAAACAGTGAATGAGAGCAATATGTATCTCAGACCCTTTTATAAAATCACCTTGGAATATGCACTAATATAACTTCCGTCCAATAGTGGTCATGGGAATGTTCTGAATAAATTACTTATAAAATTCAACTTTAGCTTCTTGGTCTTATTTTTCCCTTCTTTCCTCAAGTATAATAAAGAAATGGACTACATTTTCCAGAAAACAAATGGAAGTTACCCACAGGATATTTATTTATCATTCATTCAAACTGATGATTATAGGAATGTAATCTCCACAGATGTTCAGTACAGTGGTATGAATTATTTAGGTGTTATGCCTATTATATGGAATAAAACCTAAGTCAAGATTTTAACTATTTATCATTGCACAGTGCCACATGTTAGTCCAGTGTTTTGTTTTTTAAAAATGACTGAATCACAACAATTTTCCATTCCAAATTTTTTTCCAGAACAGTGTAAAAGGAAAGTAGAATCAAATCTTATGAAAGGAAATATCAAATAGAAAGGATATGGCAACAAAGGAGAGAAAAACAAGTAAATGCAATAAAATAAAGGCATATTAAATTCGGAATATTTTCAAATATAGTAGTATGTTTCAAAAATATTAAATTGATTTATTTCATGGTTTTTATTTTAGATAAATATGTAAAACTATGAATGAAAAAAAGTAAATATAAGTGATATTTTAGGAAAACCAACATTTATGGGTAGAGCTTTTTCCCATTAAAATCATTACATTTATAATTCAGTCTTAGGGTCAAAATACATTTTTACCTTTTTGGGTTCATATTGTCGAAGGTTACTACCCAAATCTGTCCAAACATATTTTTTGCAGTAAAATTAATATTGTTAAAAGAGATAAGCGAGAAATTCAATTTAATTTCTACAAAAACTAGAAGTTGTCCAAGTTTTTAGATTTTGTTTGTACTGTGAAAGGGCGTCGCGCTGGTCTGACGTCACTTCCAGCTACGTCCGGCTGTCACGCCAATGCCGCCAAAAACATAAATAAAACTAGCACAGTGAGAAAAGATGGTGTCAGAGAAAGAGACAGCGACAATCCGCAGGTTTGTGCGTGGTGAACTCCGCGATGAGCCAGACTTAAGGTACAGTTGAAGCATTCATTAATTCGTTTAATTAATTGCTGTTTGTACCGAGAGTAAAAACACAGACGTGTGTGTTAGCAGTGAACTGTCGGTAACCTGTCGACATGCAGGACTAAAGCAGTTTACCGTAAGACCCACTAGCATATATCACTTTCAACACATTCAGTGGTTATTTAACTACTCAGACTGTTGCATGTTGCCTGTTGAACACAAACACTTCAGTTACTGTAACGTTGATGTGCCATTTACTACTACTAGAAGACTATGAGGCAGTTTAACAGTGTTATGGTTTGTCATCCCACACGACTTTGGCTACACGGGCCGTGCGAGGCTTAACATTAACTTTAGGTAGTCAGGAAAGCTTTGTTAAAAAAAATTGTAAGGTATTAGTGCCAGTGACAGCTGCCAAATGGCATTTACCACATCAGTAGTTTAGAAGCTAATAGTTGTAAACGACACCTGCTGGGCAGAAGTGGTATCTTTCAGTGGGTTAAAAAAATACAGTGGGTGAAAACCATTAGGAAGTTAAACTAAAACAATTGACAGTGTATCTAGTAATGTGCAAGCCTCACCTTCAGTTGTTGGAATTGAACTAAAATTAGTTCCTCTCGTTTCTGGAGGTAGAAAAGTTATTTTTAGTTGACTATAATGAAGAATAATACACTAAATACCTCATATTTGTCTATATATTAAACATTGCACTTAAAACTCCAGTGAGGTCCAAAAGTCTGACACCACATTCCCAGATTGTTACCCACTGTACATTATATAAATATTTTCCTATAGATAGAAATGAAAAAACAAAATCCCTCTTTGTGTGTTACCTATAACTTTTGCACTAAGCAGTCACTCAGTCTTAAAGATCTCAGTTTTCATCTGTTCATGTTTCAGTCATTCAGTATGATGTGGGCCTGTTAAATGTTTCACATGTATTTCTTAGTCTGTATTCAAAATCGCAAAGGCTCAAATTAAGTGACTGTTTCTGTAAATTACCTCTTCCCTCGTACACCTTGATATAATTTTTCTAATGTCTTATTCCAGCACACTGACCTTAGGAATTCTAAAAAAACGATATTTAGCACGGGTGGGCCGTGAATCATTAAGTCCAGAGGCCAGAAATTACATGAAACAGGCGGTTGAAGAGGAACTGATGAAAATGCAGGTAATTCTTCCCATACAGCTCACATATATTTCTTTAAGTGTTTGTGATTTTAGGACTGGGATCATGTTTAGTGCTATAGGTATAACCATCATCATACATTTTTTTCCTGCAAGGACGATGACGAAAACGGAGAGGAGCTAGAGACCAAGAAGCCCCAGAACAAAAGGAAGAGAGAAGAGGAAAATGATGAGGTGATAAATGAGAGAGAAGATCCAAGGGCAAAGAAATCCCGCTGTCTGTCAAGTTCATCATCAGGTTTGTTTTAATTGTTATTTTCCTGAAATGTTTTTAGATGCCTGTAATTTTAATGATCTATACAATGTTTTACTTTGCAGTTATGTGAAATATCCGGGAGCATTACTAACACTAGGACATGCATTTGGCAATAATAGTATGTGGTGTCACTTTATACTTTTCAACATAAAGCAGCAAGCTGGTCACAACTAATTGTTCTTTATTGTATGCTTGCTTTCATCAAAGGCCCAGAGATACAGACACTAATATACAGATATACTGTGTACACACACGGTTTTAATCTTGTCCTTTTACAATGCAGTCCTTGTTCAAGTAGCATTTGAAGGTGCTTTATTTGGTTTATATTAACTTAGTTGAGTACAATGATATGGTTTATTTCTCCCTCACTACCTATATTACTCCGACCTTGTTTGCATTATTCCCAGTGAGGTCTATCCATTCCCTCAGTGAGTTTTGTTGCTTCTTTGTAAACCATAAAATGTTTTGTCTTTTCTTGTTTGGTCAATGACAGAATCGGAGGATAAAGAGGGCTACGAATCAGAAAGTGAGGAGAGTGATGAGGAAGACCAAATGAAATCTGGATCTGAGGATGCAGAGCGAGAGGTGAAAAGATCACAGCACAAGACAAATGGGAACCATAAACAGCAGATGGACAGTGAAGACTCTACAGATGAGGAAATGAATGAGCCAGAAAAAAAAGGGAATAAGAGTAAATCTGGTGACAGTCCAAAAGATATGGTGAAAAAGAAAGTGAACGCTACAAAGAATGGAGAGAAAAAAAGCAGCCGTACAAGTCCAGAAAGGAAAGCGGCACAGAGTGATGGAGAGAACGAAACTGACACAGACAACAAGTCAGTAAGGAGTGAAAAAATCAACGGTGATGAGTCCTCAGATGACAGTGAAAAAGGTGACTATGCAAAATTTATACCTGCATGTCCCATATGTAAATGTTTATTCATTTATAGTGTTACAATTTTTTTATATGACTTGATGTTACTTTCTGCTCGTGTTACGCAGAAGAAAAAGTTTCAGTAGAGAAGAAAAATAAGGACACAGACTCGGATTCATCATCACTCCCCTCTTTGGAGGATGACAAGGCTAGTGGGACAGAAGATAATCAAGATATTAAAAAAAAGAAAACCATGAAAAAAGTAGAGAGCACCAGAGGTCAAAAGGTGAGTCCATGCATGATGTTATAAATCAGAATCAGTCAGTCAGAATCAGAAAAGTCAAGCTTTGTAAAGTTTTTACAAAGTTCTCTTCATCAAATGTTTTTTTTTTTTTTTTTCAAAAGTATTATGAAATGATTTGTGATGTATATTAATGAAGGTTGCATTTGTTTGAATTTTTTATCTTTTTTACTGTGGTGAAGTTAAATTCATTAAATTTTAAATAAAGATGGATGCAAAAAATATATAAATAAAACATTTATGTTCCACTGTGCTTTGGTTATACTCCAATGTATCATATTTGAAAAAGCTAAACTGAATGGTTTAATTTACAATTTTTTTTACAAATAATTAAGGAAAAACTTAAATATCTAGTGTCTGTAAGTGTCCCAACACTTTTGCCCTGAATCTTCATATTGAATAAAGGTGCATCTAAATTCCTGTAAGATGAGTGGCAGAAAGCTAAAACCAAATGTTGTAAATGTCTCTTATGTAAATCTTTTCTTCACAACCTGTCTGACCACTGCAGAATGACGACAAAGCAATTGTGAGGCTCAAACGCTACATTGCTGTCTGTGGTGCAAGGCAAAATTACAAGAAGCTCCTTGATGGCTGTCACTCTGTTCACTCCATGGTGGCTGTTCTGAATAAGACGCTTGAAGATCTTGGTGTCCGTGGTCAGTGGGAATACATTTACCTATTAACAGACCACACAATCTGGCCATAAGTGCTCATTGATTTGCTGAAATACTATACAGTGAGATGGTTTTGATTTGTAATGATAAACAAGCCCAAAATGAAAACCTTACACTAGACTGTACGTTTGTAAAACTGCCATGTGACATTTCTCATTTGTAAACTGTAAAACAGTTTTCATTTTCTGTACAATTTACACAATTTGATTAACTCTAAAAATAACTTGTGTATGTGTTTTCACACAGGTCAGCCAACTATTAAGAAATGCAAAAAAGTCCGAATAAAAAGAGAACAGGCTCAGGAACTAGCTGGCCTTGATGTCAGCAACATCATTTCCACACAAGGTAATAATTTGTCTCTTCATGGTTGCTACCAACTATTACTTTTGTGAAAATTTAATTGCTGTTTGTTGTTTATTGTACATATTGCACTCAGCTTGAACAAGAACGGCAAGTTGATTTTACGCATTACTCAATATAGATTCTAGAAAAGCAGTGCAAAAACTTAATTTGACGTAAGTGTATGTAAACATAATTAACACTGTAGAGATGGCTTTTCAGTTAAAGACGCTATGTGTAGGAATGGGCCAACTGTCTAATTCATACTCTATACTCAACTAGAAGTTTCTTTTGTAAGAAACAAGGAAATGCAGTCTTTGGTCCCTCCTCTCCCATCCCCTTCTCCTGTGGCATCGTCAGACTGGCCGTTGGGCATACCAGGAAACATCCCTGTGGACAGTCATTCTGGGTGTGCAATGAAAGCATGCTATCTTCATGATCTGTGGCTGGGTTTATTAGCCACTCACAACTGAGTTTCAACTCTCACCCTCATGCTGAGCTTGATGAAAGAGAGGAGGGATGTCTGCAACACAGCCAGGTTTATAGCCTACTTGCAGTTATTACTTCTTCATCCTCTCATGTTGGGCTGAGGCCAGATTGGATGCTACAGCGAGTCATTATCATCTCTTGAGGTACAAAGTGGTATTACAAGATGGAACTGGACTAGCTGCCTAGCATGCTAACCTCAGTAAACATCTTTGAAATGCAATACATGGACATCTTTGACTTAATGTCAAAACTGTAATTTCTTTACATTCTGCTGATGAGTTTAGTACATTTTTGAATGTTTTTAGACATTTTATTCAATGGGAAACTTACATGTGTCACAGATGCTGCATGCACCACATATTTTAACGTAATAGTACCTGTATGTGTGGTTGATGACCAGGTTGGTTGAAGAAGTGTACACTGCACTTATAGTAATGCTGTTGATCAAGTGTCTATAATTTTTAATCGCTAGTACTGTTTATCATTTTGGTGCACATCCAAAATATGAAAATATTGATTAATGATACCTGCTAATGTGGATACCTTTCTCAGGTCGTCCTAAACGCAGAGGAGCGTGGCAGGCGAAACATGACCCTCCATCCTCTACATATCTGCGCACTCTGAACTCTGGCTCAGACAGTGAAGAGGAAAATGATACACACAGAGGACGCAGAAGAGGAACAGACTGGGCCAACCTGCAGGGGGTCATCAGTGATGATGCAGAAAGTGACTGACAGGGACAGTTCCTCTTCAAGTCTGGACATTGGACATTACTTTTTCACTGTACCAACTGGGTTTTGGTCTTTACAAATAATTTTTACTTTTAATGTCTACTTTTGGCAAAATTAATAATAATAATAACTATTGATAATGTAGATGGGGCTTGAATGAATGACCAGTTTTTGCAGAATAATAATAGTAGAGTGATGATGTACATCTGTTTTCTATATCAAATAAAAGTATTTTGTTCAAATGGAACAAATATTTTATTTTTACAAGGGGGCATGTACATGAAGACTGTTGATTTGCTTTTGCTTTTTCTAACGTGTGTGGGGGGTGGGGGGGGGGTAACAGAGGGAGAGCATGGTAATAAAAATCTGCCTATAAAAGGGGCAGGAGGCGAGTAGAAAAAATAAAAAGTGATCCCCTAATTTCATCCCATGGACACATCTTATCAGCTTCACATTTCCGGGAACTAATCGTAAATAAGCTCTCGGATATACGGAATATTTGGCAAACGGACTGGTCCGATGGGGTAATGTGTCCGCCGCACTACTGCAGGTCAATGAGATATTTATTTTTAATTGCTATAATACAAGAACCGTTTTTGTTTACGACACAACTATATTAGGCGAAAAATATGTATTTTTTAAGGAGTGAATGTGTGTGTGCACTTAACAATCTCAGTCTGACAACGTAGCTGGATACAAAATAAGTAAATGCACGTGACCCTCAAGCTGCTACACAACTCGTCTGTCACAGCGGTATCTTGGTTACAAATCATACGTTACACTAAGGACTAGAGGCTAAATAGAAGTAGCTCTAACCAAATCACTACAGTTGAGTTGAGACCTCTCTGACAGTGTCAACCAGAACTGCTCATTACAATCTTCCTAAATGTTGACTTTGTGGAAGATCTGTCGTGTGGGATTGCATAAATCTGTATAAGCGTACCTAATAAAGTGGCCAGGGAGTATCTAAACTGTGTGGAAAGAGAGAGATCGTAGATATTAGGTATTGAAAAGTCCTATTATTTCCTACTACTATCCCTACTCTTTGGTTTACAATACCCCCGTTTAGAGTTTTTATAACCCATGTTGGTATTTTCTCTAACTTTACATTTACTTAGACCTTACATTACTCATTTCATGCAGGAATGGACAATGATACACCAGATGAGGTCTTTGCCGAGCTCAAGACGAAGCCCCTTGGAGGATGGGGTGTTGCTCAGATAGCTGTTGGTACTGGACTTGCTGTGTATGCTATGTGGGTGGGAATCCTTCAGCCAGGCTTCCGAAAAGTCCCTTTAAGGCTACAGGTATGGTCCACATCTCCATAACAATTTGAATAATTATTGATGTAACTGCTTGTTCCAAAAAGGTTTGAGAAACATCCAAACATTTTTTTTTTTATCAGAGGCTCTTTAAAATTTCTTCCAGGTACCCTATATTCCAGCCAGCAAAGCTCAAGTAAATAATGTCATGACATTGTTGAGAGGTCGAAAGGGAGGTCTTGTTGATTTGGGATCTGGTGATGGCCGTATTGTAAGTACAAGCAAGATATTTGGGATCTTTTGTCTTGCACTGATGAACAATGAGTTTTGACTATGGTAATTTTTAACCCGTAAGGTCTTGGAAGCCCATCGACAGGGTTTCGCTCCTGCTGTTGGTTATGAGCTCAACCCTTGGCTTGTTCGCCTCTCCCACTATCATGCATGGAGAGCAGGCCATAATGGAAAAGTGTCATACCGACGGGAAGATCTCTGGAAGGTCTGACATTTGTCACTTGTATTTCAGCATTAGTAACACTCCTGCACAAATTTTCAAGTTATACCAGCCAGCATTAAATAACAACATTTAACAGTATTGTAATTGGTTTTGGCAACAATATATTGTTTCCACAACAAAATAGATTTAGAGGAAATGTTCTCACTTCCAGAAGAAAAAGAAAACAAGAATGACACTGAATATCTAAATTGCTGGCAAAATAGTTTCTTATTTGCAAAGATTGACATGACTTGCCCAAATACCTTTATGAATAATACTCGTAACTCTTTGGTAGCCTTTCTGGTTTACTTTATCCTGGTGGTGTATGGTCAGGTCATCATACCTTAAGATATCACAGCTTATTTGCCCTCCTTTCTGCAGGAGTTTTTGTTACCATTAATTTAACATGGTCAGGGAGTAAATTCTGTAGTGACCACAGATTTCAAGAAAGCTGCATAGTTTTTTAAATGTGATCATTCATTGTATTTATGATATTTAAAGGTGAATTGTTAAAAAATTGAACAGTTTACATCTTGCATTTTATCTCATCACAGGTTGACTTGACAGAATGCAAGAATGTCACAGTGTTTTTGGCTCCTAGTGTGGTGAGTAACACAATGAACAGATATCTAGAAACCATGAAATTGTAGATTGTCTCAATGTAGCACACAGCCAAGCAAAAATGCAGTAATAAAGAAAAACTGGATGTTAGCTCACTGAAAATGACTTAAAGAAATATTTGTGTTCCTAGCTTTCATTATTGCAGGAGAAGTTGCAGGCTGAGCTCCCTGATGATGCCTTAGTTGTGGCTGGACGTTTTCCCTTCCCTGACTGGAAACCCTGCAGGATTGAGGGCCAGGGTGTGGACAGAGCCTGGGCATACAGCATGCAAGCACAAAGACAGACCACCTCCAGGAAAAATGACAAGCTCACAGTCATGGATAGCGACCTTGACAATGAACTAACCAAGGAGAAATGATCCACTTGAAGCTATATGGTCTTTTTCTTTCCATGGTTTTTTGTCCTCCTAGAATGGTAACATATAATTACTATATATCATGAATTTATAAGCTGCTCATCACATCAGTATCCTTCACTGGATAAGGACAAAGTTAAGGACATTTTACTTAACTTGACTGTCTACATAATTAAAGACTAAATACTTTTTGATTACTTCCGCAACAGGACGTTTCTGACAACTTCTTTTCTTTTTGCACAAAAGCTCTCTCTGCTACAGCTTTGAATATTATATTTGTTAGCAGCAATGTCTGAACCACTTTTGAACTAGAAATTCCTGAGCAACAGTTTGTGTTGGCATCAAAGTAAAACCACAGCTTTGCCTCCAGATACATGTAGAGTAGTTTTTGTGAATGATCTGTCTGGGGGGGAGCAAGCTTTTGTTGTGTCAACAGCAGTTGTTTCTGCTGTGTTAAGCAGACGCACAGTTCCAATCTCACAAACAGACTGTAACATTTTCTATAAACCCCATGGGGTCCATTGTGTAGAAAGGGTGGTCTTTGCCTGGGTTATAAATAATTATCCAGTAGCAGTTTGTCTTTGACTGTAGCCTTTTTTTTGTTTCTCTTTAATGTTCAGTCTTCACTTTGCTGTAAATGTAACTGCTCTATTTATGGACTATAAATTCCTCTTTCTCGTTCACCATGTGCTGTACACTTAATTTGTCACCTTAGTTTCTGACATTCTGAGATGGGCCAGGTAGTTATTCAAACAAAATGCTGCATTCAGTACATGATCCAGGATAGCTTTGAAGTTGAACTGAATGAGCTCTGTACACAGCATTAAACTCAATGTTATACACGAGGAAAGGCACAGTGTGGAGTGGAAAGAATAATTATCCCTAGAGGTGCAGACTTCGTCCAGTTATGTATTGTCCACACAAGGTTCTGCAGATAAAACATCACTTTTGGGATAGAGTACTGTATGCATGCTTCAAAGGAGATCAACACAGGCGTCATACTTATTCACTAAGAAGGAATATATGTTTTTATTCTTTTGCCTTTGTCTTGTCTTTTTCCATTTATGTTAAGTATTATTGTATACTTAATATTCTATTTATTGTAAGCCAGCTATATTTCTGTATATTTCTGTTTTATTCTAACAGAAAGACAATATTATAAGATTGGTAATTTACTTTTTGAGTAAGCTGATTTTCTTTCATGTATAACTTATTGCTCAATACTTTTTTAAAAAGCTATTTGCACACAGACAGTGATAGACATAAACTTTCTTTAATATGTTTAAAAAGTGCTGTAATTTGAAAGTGTAACGGGAGATCGTGCTTTTCTTATTGTGACTGACTTGACACAAGCTGATTGGGTTGGTTCATTTCTGCAGCAAAAGAGGAAGTTGCGAAGCGAACCTTGTTACCAACAAGCTAGCTATAATCTTGAGCCGCCCTAAGCATCGAAAAGGGGAATAACAGGAACAAGCGCGCATAGTATTATATATTTAGTGTTCTCACAAATTTGTCAGCTATATAACTTGGGTGTGCACATTTACTCGTTTTAAAATTTTAAACGGTAAAGGCAAGTTGTCGTGACCAACAGCCCTGGAAGCATGTCTACGTTTGACAGCAAGCTAACGAAAATTACACCTTCATCCTTCTAGAAAAGCTAACGAGTTAGCCATCCGCTGCAACGTTAGCAACTGGGTAACTTAGCCTCGAAACGCTTGATATAGAAAGCTAATTAACGTTGCACATTTCTCCGCTGTCGGAGCCAGTGTTAGATGTCCCACAAAACAAGATTTCTATATTTAACTTACCGGTAAATGGAATTATACGACAATGCAGCTAATCTACCGATTTGAGATAGCTGATTCAATGTTAAGACTATGTACTTGGTAAGCGAAAAGCGTTTTATTCTAGGGTGGTAAATTTAACTCAGTGTTTAACGTCGTTTTTGCAAGCAGAGTCAACGACTCCGACCTTTGCTAGCTAGTTGTGTGTGTATTAACGACCAAAGCAGACGAGTAGACCATGACGAACCCCCTCTGCGGTTACGTTAGCCAGCAACACCTTAGCTAACGTTAGCTACAGAACTGGCTTGTCAGGTAGCTAATGTTGGCTCTTTACTGTAATTAACACGAGACTAAGAAAACTGAAGAAAGCAACTGAGCCAACTAAACATGGTAAGTATAATTTGACGCGTATTTTTTTACCTAGTTATTCACATTGTCGTCCTGTCGGATTTGCTAATAGCTAATGTGGTGCAAGAGCTTTTGATTCGTATGTTTGAACAGGAAGACCTAACGTTATGATAATAACGCTTTCAAATTTCTTTACATATAGCTAATAGCGTATGCAAGTATGCACTATGGTCCTGTATGTCTGTTAAGCCACATAACGGTTTGTGGGAGGCCAGGTATTTCACGGGATGTGACAGCTTGTTAAGCCATTTCGCGGAACAAGACGCCCATCTTGCAAAACCGAATATTTGCTTTGAGTAGTGTTAAGCCTCGGCAAGTTGTGGCTTATTTGAGGAATTTAGACCCGCCTGCCACAGGAGCTGCTCTTTAAAGTCTCTATTTGCTATCTCTTTTTTGCCAGGCAGGGCCCAACTTCCGCCACCTGTCAAAGCGTGGTACAGCACAACCGACTTGTTTTAATTACAGCTTGATTTAAATTGTGTATGGCTAAGACTAAAATTTTCATGCAATCATCAATGCTGAACCATCTCAGCAAGTCGGACTGCAGTTGTGAACTGCAGAATTGCCAAGTTGTGTGAACTATATTTCCATGATATAATCTGAAAAAAGGTGCACAGTAATGATACATGTGCAATGATAAACTAAAGCTCTGTGCAGGCATGCACACGTGAAGATACATATCCAGCCCAGTAAGTGATTCACCTGAGCAAGATGCTGCATACACCTGTAAGCACTAACTTGTGAAAGGTCTTCTCTTTAAATCAGTCTACAGGTCCACATGTTGATATATTGTGTATATATTTTTTTTCATGCTAATGAGTAGGTGGTTATGAGAAAAGTACAGTGGTTTGGTTGGACATATTGTTAAATAGATGGTCTAGATGTGCATTTTGTATTTAACTTTACCTTTTATTATCCTCTAGGCTTCAGAGGAGGCATCGCTGCGTGCACTGGAGAGTCTTATGACGGAGTTCTTCCACAGCTGCACGACCAATGAGCGAAAGAGAGAAATAGGTAAGTTTGGCCTTGTAAAACCTACCTCTGCCCCTTAGAAGTAAGAACATGATCCATAAGTATTTTCAGGTTTGTGCTTCCACCAACGTGGTTTGCATAGATACAACATAGGACTTGTATCTAGAACAATGAAGAGGGAAGAAGAAAATTTAATTTAAGTCTGGAAAAACTTATTTGACAGTCTTTTTCGTAAGGGGCAGTTTACTATCCTATTAACTGAGGCAAATTTTATTCAAAGTGAAATAGATCAATTTGTGCATCTCATTTTGTTGTTTGTAAAAACATGTCTTCACATCTTTGAATATGTATTTTTGAAATGGTAAAGGTTTTTCCCATGAGATACTGTATCCCAAAGTCTTAACAGTTTGCATATATCTACCTTAGCAAGTCTGGATCCCCAAATACAATGGACTGTATTCTGTAACATACTGTAATGCAGGGTTAGGGTTTTTCACTTTGGAGTGTTTTGTGACCTAAAATCATTTGATTTCTATTAAAAGAGTATTTTTTGTCACTTTTTTATACACTTCCTGTGTTGTGACGCATTACTTTCGGTCTGTCTGCAAGTGAAGCCTACATTGTCATGTACTTCTGTCAGTGATCATACCTACTTCCTTTTTTCTGCAGAAGAGCTGCTAAATAACTTCGCACAGCAGACTGGAGCGTGGCGGCACTGTTTGTTCTTCCTTTCCACTACTCGGAATGAGTACGTAATGATGTACAGCCTCACAGTATTTGAAGTAAGTGCTGTAGGTGGGAAATACACATTTTCAGTTTACAGTACTGTCCAGGGCCTTCTTTACCTTTTTATGCTTCGAAAATAAGACAGTACCCAGAGAAATGTATTGCTAAATAGGTACTGAATATATTACATGGTAAAGAATTTGTTTCATTCTGCTTGTCTGTTTCCTCATTTCTTTAATTCTACAAAACAAGTTAGCTGAAAGTGTAATACATATTTTATGGGATAAAAGACTGCACATCCTGTGACCCTAGTGACATACTTACACTGTCTTTAATGCATATCTTATACCCCTTTTGCACCAAAATTAGCATGTATATGCCCACTGCCAGTAGACAACTTTGCCTCTCTGTTTTTTTGTTTTTTCTTTCATGTTCAACGACACAAATGTGCTCTAAAACAGTAGAAAGCAGCATGGAGGCTTTACAATGTTACAGCAGTTACTTTTTTGTATCTTTTTAATTCAGTCTCTTCAAAATCACCACAGACTGAACAAGGTTGTTGGTGTGAAAAGTTTTTCATACAGTTATAATATAACTGCCTGTAGGTAGTGTGCTCATCAGGTTTCATCGGTGTTCTTGAATAAACTGGTAGAGCCTGAGACTCATACACTACAGAAGGGGTAGTCATAGCAACTTCCCGCAGTTAAAGCAACATCATATCTGTGTGATGGAAAAGAGGAAAATTAGCATGTCCACCCAGGTTTCATGTTTCCATCTCTGCTGATGGTCACTGGAGCCAATAAATACCCGTGAAAACTACGGAATCAATTCCGATTATATAATTTCCCACTGAGGACAAAAGCCAGATGAGTTTGAGTTTGTAGTTTAAGGTGTGTTAGTTAATGTTTTTCAGTGGACACTATATCATTTAAAAAAATCTTTCTTGATCAATGAAGAAATTACTGAACACGCACACAATTATTGAGAATTATTACAAAATATTTGTCTGTATATATTTGTCGCTTCTTGAGACACATTTTTGACAACTGATTGTTACTTTTTACTTTCAGAACCTGGTGAACAAGATGTGGATCGGCGTTGCTTCACAAGACAAGATGGAGATTCGCAGCTGTCTTCCCAAACTCTTACTTGCTCAGCACAAATCTGTGCCCTATTTCATCCGTAACAAACTCTGCAAAGTCATCGTGGACATTGGTCGCCAGGACTGGCCAATGTTCTACCATGATTTCTTTACAAACACCCTTCAGGTAAGCTCTGATGATGTTGTTTATACTATAAAAATGTTTTGTGCAAGTTTAATCCTCATCAGTAACTCAGTGCTGGTTGATGTGTTCTTAAATGCTTAACAGAAGTTGAGACTAAGACTAAGAAAAACATAGCTTCTCTTACAGTGAACATGTGCTTTTTGATGATGTGAAATTGCACTAAAAAGCACCTCTCTCCCTTAACCTGTTGCATGTGTCAAATTTATTTATGCAGCATTTCAGACTTACTTTTTCTATTAATTTAACATATTGTATTATTGTGGATAGTTTGGATTATTGCTCCAGAGCACAGAAAAAGAGTTTTGGTGTTTGACAATATTGAATCATCAAAGAGCGACTGAAACAGTTTCCTTTCATTTTGAAATTAAATGGCAATCAATTAGAAAAATCAAGAGTCAACAATATTGGAGGTGATGAAATTAAATCGACAATGGAATATGAATGTTCCCAAATTTGTGTTGGGATTATGTTTTTCGAGGTTTCCACGGTTTGAATTTAAAAAACATC